GATATTTGTTAGAATTTTTTAAATAATTAGGTTCCCTTAAACTCTCGAAGTTTCCATTTAGAATTTAATCTCAAGCAGGAAGAAATAATTTGAAATATTAATTTCAAGATCTCTTTCACCTAAAAAAATCCAGATCAGTTAGTAGAATCATTCTAGTTAAATGATTTTAAGTTAGATTAGCATTATAAATTGGTCAAAATTATAGTATATAAAATTATAATTTGGTTAAAATTATAAAATGAGTTCATTTAAATTGTGATATTTCCATTAGATTTAAAGTCTAATAGTCCATTATGAGAAATTAGATAAGATCTAATTCTAATATTGTTATCCTTTCTTATATAAACATTTTTCATCAAACAGGTTTTATTTAATAATAAGAAGTAGTTAGATATTTAAATATATCACTATTATTTTTTAAAAGTATTTGAATTTTACCAAAACTAGAATATTTTTTAAATAGATAAAATAAATGTGATGAATCTTATTTATTTAATATTTTATTTTTCTCAATATCATTAAATTAAATTAATCAAATTATTATTATTAAAAATAATTATTATAATTACTTTTAAATTTCAATTTAATTATAACTTAATTATATCATAAGTAAATTTAATTGTATCATAAATTGTAACTTAATTGCATCTTTTGATTGTTATATTTTTTGAGTTTTATAAGGCTTAAAGGTTCTGAAATAAGTTTAATATATTATATTGAAATTGTAATAATTAATCTTAATTGTTTTTTTTTATAAATATTTTCAAGTATTAGATTGTTTTAAAAATAAAATTTTATTTTTTTTTTATTATTTTAAAGAATTTGAAATAATTTTAATATTTTAAAATATAATTATCTTATTAATATTATATATTCTTATTATATAATAATAATGTAAAAATAATACATTAATATAAAAATTATTTAATTAATTTATTATTTTTATATTATTATGATATATCAATATATAATAAATTTTTAAATATAATATTATTTTAAAATAAGATTTTATAAATAGAATAATTAGTGAATATTTAATAATATAATCAAATATATATTAAAATTTAGATTAATTTACAATTTATTAAGTAGTTTTTAACAAAATAAATTAATAAATACAATATTTAAATTTAAAATAATCTGAATTAATTAATATTTTGTTTAATATTTAAATATTTTTAATATTTTAAATATAATTATATGATTTATTTAAAGTTTTAAATCAGATTAGATTAATCTGTTTACTTAAACTAAAATTTAGATTAGATTAATATTAATATTATGATTTGATCTAACTTAACAAAATTTAGATCAACTAATTATTCTTTTTAAATAATAACTAATCATTCAATTAAAATGATAATAAATTATTCAATTATGAATCATTCTTCTTAAATAATAACATATTGTTCAATTAAAACAATAAAATAATAAATCATTTAATTAGAATAATAAGAATTATTTTCTTAACAATAATAAATTATTCAAAAGAACAATAATATAATATTTAATTAAAAATAATAATAATTATTCTTCTTAAATGATTTAGTTAAATCAGATCAATTAAATTAAAATTTAAATTAGATTAAATTATTGTTTAATTTAACCTAATTCTCTCATTGATTGATCTGCTTAAACTAACCTATTTAGAGTTTTAGATTGATTATTTATTATCAGATTAGGTCTAATATATATTTTTATAAATAATAATTAATATAATATAAATATAATATAATGATTTTATATAACTCATTTTACTTTTATTTAAATTATAAATTAAATATTAAAAATTTAGAATTCTTTAATAAATTTATTCTTTACTAAAATGAATTTCTTGAGTATCTTAATTAAATACAATATATATTATCTTTTTTGCAACTAGAAAACTTTTCTTTTTTTTTATTAAATTTGATTTTACAAATTTATAATTTATTTTTAAACTTTTTCTTTTTGATGAAAACAAAAAACTTTTATGTGTTCTACTTTTTTTAAAGTTATTTTTGCAAATAATTATTGAAAAACATTTTATTTTAAGATTAAAATTTTCAGATTCAAAAATTAAATTTTGAGAAATTTTAATATTATATAAAAATAAAAAAACTTATATTTGTAAAGTCAATGTAGATAACTTAAATATAACAGACTTTTTTAATATATCATATTTAAATATAGCAAAATTTTTGACAGATTTTTTTGCAATTTTTAAAATTCAATTTTAAAAATAAAATTATTATTTATTATAACATTTGAAATTTAAGCAAGAGAATTATTAATATTAAAAAATATTATTAAAAAATGATTTGCAAAAATTTAGTAGATTTAATTTATATAAATCAATTATTTACAAATAGTATTATATTATTATTATATTAGAAAAATCAAAACTAATACTTCTGATTTATCTTTTTCTTCTATTTTTCTATAATTTTTTATAGCTTATTTTTCTATTTCTTCTTTAATTTTTTTAATTATTTTTAATTATTTTTATTATTATAATATTTATTTTAATTTTATAACAAATATTTTTATTTAATTAATTTATAGCTTAACAAATAATTAATCATAGTAGAATAGTTTTATATAAAATGTATCACTTTTTGTTAAAATTAAATTAGAAAGTTTAAAATTTTAAGAGCTTAGAATTCTTTTACTAGTTTCAAGTTATAAATAAAAAAATTAATTAAAACTTACAAAATTATTTATACTTTTAACATTGTTCTTTATCTAGAATTTAATTGTAATACCTACATTAACTTGTTTTAAATTTGTCATTAAGTTTAACTAAATAAATCTTAATTTTTAAATGTATAAATTGCAAAGTTAATTTAAGTATAATGGATACCTGTAAATTTTTAAGATTATAAATTCTAATAAATAAGATAAATTACTATAATACTTAAATTTAAACTTAAAAATATCAAAATTAAACTCAGTAATAATATATATTATATATCTTTATTATATTTTAATATTATTTAAAATAGCTATTTAAATAATTATTATTAATAAGTTTATAAACATTATGATTAAATAATTAATTATATTATAATATTTATAATTTGCTAATTATTATGAATAAATTTATTAAAAATTTAAAATTTAAATCAATAGGAGGTATCAGACATATGATATATCAATTTAAAATCAGCAAATCATCAAAAATTTGTCTGCCAATTGATATACATTAAGAATCAGCCAAAATTCAATCAAAATTCAACTTATTTTATGTATAGCTAATTGGTTTATACTAATTAGTATACATCAAAAATCAGTTAAAATTTGATCTATTTTATTTATAACTAATTGATATTTGATTAACATATATTAAAAATTAGTAAATATATTAAAATAAAATAAAATTCAAAAGAAAATATAACTAATATTTTATAATTTAAATCATAAAATTTTTGTTAAAAATATTCAGTTATTTTACAAATAATATTTTCTATTAATTAAATTAATAATTAAATATTTTTTTGTATTTTTTTTAATAAAATTTGATAGTTTATTATTACAAATTGACCTAAAATATGATGTATTAGTGTTATATAATCACAAAATTTTAGGTAAAATTAGTATTTTATAATTTGACATTTTTTTGCTAAAATAATATCAAATATTTAGAGAACTTATCAAAATGAAGTTATTTATAAACAATTTCATTTATATTATTATAATAAATTGTTAAATTACTTTATAATTTAAATTTAATATTTTTGATAAGTTTATTTTAATTTAATGTATTTATAAATTATTTTTAATTTACTTAAAATCTTATATTGATTTAATGTATAATAAAAATATTATTTCTAATTTACTTTGTTTATTAAAGTATTATTTCTGATTTATTTTAAGTTTATTTTACAAAAGTTTCATTTCTTTTAAAACTATTGTAAAATTTTAAACTTTTAATACTTTTAATATAATTTATTTATATAAACAAAAGTAACATCAAGGTTGATCTAAAAATAAAGCAGCTAAAACAGCACATAAAAGAAGACAAAAGAAATTTGTAACAAGGGTGAGCTTTCTTTTTTATTGTTAACACATGTTTTCTATAAAAGCAGTTGTTCTGATAGTAATAATTGTGTAATTTTAATTAATAATTTAATAATTTAAATCTTTAACTTCTAAAGTATTTCTACTCCTTTTTATTTGAGACAATTAGATTACTTTTTGGTTATTTTTCATTTAGTTGAAAGTACATAGACTAAAGTTTTACTTTAAAGTTAAAGCGATGGATTCTGGTTGTTTTTTTATAGGGTTAAATTTAACTTGTTATTTTTGTTACTTATCTACCTTTAGAATCATAATAAAGTTGTAAAATTTTTATAAAACTCTTTCTAATAAAAATGTTTGTTAAGAAGATTGCAATAAACCATCTAAATAAGTTGTAAAATATTAAAATATTTCATAGCAAAACAATTTTATTGTCTAATAATTTTTTGTTACCAAAAAATTGGAGGGGAAAAAGAGTTTTTAAGAAACTTTTTTATAATTTTTTTTACAGTTATATTTAGAATTATATAACCAGTTAATTTAATTTTTTTTTTTTTTTAATGATGCAATCACTTTATTAATTAATAAAATCAAAATTACAAATTGAGAAATAAAAACTATTCCAAGTACTATCTATCCCTCGTTATATTACAAACCCGTTTGAATCGATCTATCATCGTCTTTACTCTCCAACAGACCCACTAAATACATATCTAATGACTAATGTTATCACCAAGAAAAGAAAAAGAAAAGTCAGTGTGCTCAGGTGAATCCACAGTTCCCAAGTATGAGACTGGTCAGGGGTTAGGTTGATCTGCCAAAAATTTATTTGCACCACGTAAGCGTTTATAACCGGTTAATTAACCAAATCTTTTTGTGTGACAAAATATAATAATTAATAAATAATCTGGTAATACATGTGTAAGCTCAAATTAAGAATAAAAAATAGTTTAAAAAATCGTGAGAAAATAATTAATTTGTTCGTCTCACTTTTTAAAACAATGGAAATTGATACTTTATCCGTTATTTTATTAATTTTAATTATATTTTTTACATTTCTTTCAATTAATGATGCTCCAAGTCCCGATGTACACCCTTTATTATTGACTTCACAGTCTGAATGCACCAAAGTTCGTAACCCCGGAGAAACTGCTATTTACAGAGCAAATAATTCTGCTCATGGCTTGCCTTTATTGACAAGCCCCGATAAAAGTATAAAAATTATTGCCGATTTATTTGAGAACGGAAAAAAACTTGGAATAGAATGCCTTGGTTTCAAAGGTGCTAATGGTTTTGAATGGGTACGTATATTTGTATTCGTTTGATTTTAAAAACAAAATTTAAATGAAATCTAATTTTTTTAATTAAATGTTAGGATTCATATCGTAAGTAACAAATTTAGAAAATCAAAACAATGATGTAAATTTATCTTGAAATGAACCGTATATCAATTATAGAGAAAATTGCCGAAAGGGTTGCAAATTTTGGATCAGGGTTGATAAAATCAACGGGTTTGGCACCCAAGTCATTAAATATGTTTGGAATCTTTATGAATAGTTGTCCAGGTATGAATTACCGATCCAAAGAATTTCGATTCTTTTGAAATTTTAAATTAAATTTTTTTTTTTCTTGCCAATAAAGAATGGGTGATTGCAGATTTGGGTAAATATAAGATCTCTAAGCATTTATTTTAATGATAATTTTTTTCATGAATTAAAAAATTTTTAAATTGTTTCAAAAAGTTTCTAGTTATTATAGTTTAATTACAGTATCTATTCCAAACATTCCTCCGCGTTTAAATGATGTCATAAATCAAATCAATCTTACTCAAATCGGAGTAGTTGTCGTATCCAAGGATACACTTCCAATGATCTTCAGTGCTGCACAATCTTGTGCATCATTGAAGCATGTCATATTGAATGAGCCTTCAATTTCTCCTGATCAAAGTGAAAAGGCTAAAGCGATTGGTTTAACCTTAACAACATTTAAGGATATCGAAGAATTAGGCACTCGATCTAAACTAGACTTTGTTTTTGCTGGTAAAACTCAATAACGACACACATTCGATCATTAAGCTAGTTTAATATATAATTAACTTTGTAACTTTCGTTATTGTTATCATTAGAGCCGGAAGATACAGCGACAATTGTTTTTACAAGTGGCACTACATCGGGTGTATGTAGCTAGATTAATATTATAATTATTATTTTTTCATAAACGTCATAAATTTTTTTGTTTCCTTTCGTAGGAACCGAGTGGAATTGAATTGACACAAGCAGTAAGTTTATATAAACATTTCATTTGTTATGATTAACGCAATATAAAATAAGTATTAACATTATCACGGAAATTGACAGAATCTCGTTGCTGACGTAGGTGAGTTTCGAAAGACGTTTATGGATCGTTTATTTACATTATACATACATGATTTTAATAATTCGAAATACAGCTGGATTGCTTTCGACACTCCCAAATTCTCAAAAAGTCACTCCCGCCGATAGACATTTGTCATATTTGCCACTTGGTAAAATTTATAGGGTTTTCTTGTTTATAACTGTTTCTAGATTTTTTTTTTTTTTTTATTTATTTATCTTTTATCTTTTAGCTCATATGCTTGAGAGAATTACAGTTATTGCCCTTTTGTATTCTGGAGCATCAATTGCTTTTTATAGTGGAAATTTATCGACTGTATTAAAAGAAGCCGAAGAAATTAAACCTACAATCTTCACCAGGTTTGATCGAATATTATTTCATATAAAATAAGTTTTTTTTTCGATATTAAATTTGTTTTTTTCTTATTTATTCCTTAGCTCACCCCGATTTTTAATTCGATTTCATGAAACGATGATACAAACGTTTGGTAATGAAATGTTTTTTGAAAAAGGATATGCATCTAAATTAAACCATTTAAGAAAAGGAAAGTTAGTTACAAATTCAATTTGGGATATGTTGATATTTAATAAGATCAAAGCAAAATTTGGAGGAAAAGTTCGTGTCATTGTCACCGGATCTGGTAAAATCTCGCGTCTTATTTTTACCATCACTATAATTTAACGCAATGGGAAATTCAAATGTTTATACGAAACTTTGTTATTATGATAGGACCAATTTCTCAAACTGCGCTTAATTTCCTTCGTATCACTGTTGGTTGTCAAGTCATTCAAGCTTATGGTCTTACTCAATGCAGTGGTGCTGTGACAGTTAATGCGTTTTTCGATTACCAACCAGCTGATCGAAACGGGCATGAATCACATACTGGAGGACCAATTCCATGTAATGAAATCAAATTGGTGAATTATGAAGAGAAGGGTTATACTGTCGAGGACAAGCCTAATCCTAGGGGAGAAGTATGTGTCAAATCTGCTGGTGAGAATGATACAGAATTTATCGATGTAATCTAATTTATTTTGTCACTTGATAATAGATATGTGTACGAGGACCAAATGTCATGAAAGGATATTATAAACGTCCTGAACAAACAGCTCAAGCGATTGATGCCGATGGATGGCTTCGTACCGGCGACATTGGTACGATCTTACCAAATGGAACTCTAAAAATCATTGATAGAAAATTGGTAAAAACTTAATTCATCATTTACTTTTATACTCGTGTTCTTAAACATTTGTTTCTAATCTTTATTATATATTTAATATATAGCCAATTAAACGACAATAACTGGTGGAAATCATTTAAGAGTTGTTATTTTGATTAATTATAATATTTATCTAGCTCGAGATTGTTAAATTTCGTAATATATACTTTCATTAAAAATCGCAAATTGTAAAGTAAATTTTATTAAATAAAGGCTTGATAATTTGACCACTAAGACTTTGTATCTTTTAGCAAAGAGACTTACTTATATACATAATTTAATTCTGAAATCTGTTAATATTATAGATTTTGGAAATACCAACTTTACTGCAGAAATCAAATTAGGTCAAATTATGTTAAATCGAAAAAATCAGTGAGTATATACATATGAAAGTCAGTTCGTGAGGGAGAATAAAAAAAATTCTTGTTTATTCTTGTTTGAATGGTATAATAAAACTTCCAAGTTTACTAAAGCGTGATAATTATCTTTGATTGATATTCCGTTAATTGTTTTTTAATTTATTTTAAAAAACACGAACAGAATTCAATAATGAGCAGACAATCGAAAGTTATCAATAACATGTAAACAGGTACAATGTAATTATCGGAAAAAAAAAAATTTTGATTCACGTTTAACTTTTTTAACCTTTGTTTTTTTTTATATACTGTATATATACTTGAAATATCGAACTTTTTTTTTTTTTTTTTTTTTTTTTTTTTTTTTGATAATTTTTTATTACCAAAGGGAATATTATATAAAACATTTTTTGCGGGTAAGTCGTTTCTTTGCTTTTTGTTTGGTGGTATAAATTTTGGGGCATAGTACTATGCAGTCTTGAGTTGCCTAAACCATCGATCAAAAATTTTCAGTGAAAATTTTCTTTTCTTGAAATAAAGTAGTTAACCATGAAACTCGTAAGGTTTGTAATATCGTTTATATTATTTTTTTTTTTAAAAAAGTTATTTGATGATGATTTGTTATTAACTTTTCTTTAAAAAAAAACCAGGTTTTTGATGAAACTGAATAATGAAACCGTCACGATTGAACTCAAGAACGGGACGATAGTTCATGGAACGATAACTGGTATGGGTTTATAATTTTTTTTCTTCTTCATTTATGCCTAAAAGCAAATTAACATAACCTTTTGTTTAACAGGTGTCGACATGAGCATGAATACTCATCTTAAAACAGTCAAAATGACCGTAAAAAACAAAGATCCCGTCAATTTGGATTCTTTAAGCATTAGAGGAAATAATATTAGATATTATATTCTACCTGATTCACTTCCATTGGATACATTGTTAGTTGATGATACACCAAAGGCTAAAGCCAAAAAGAAAGAAGGTACGTTATTTCCTCACCTTTTATGATTCAACGGAGTATTATGGATAGTATTAACGATATCACTTTAAATTCAATAGCCGTTGGTGTTGGACGTGGACGTGGACGTGGGCGAGGACGTGGTACTCGTGGTCGTGGTCGTGGTCGTTAAGAAATGTTTGTGAAATTTTCTCTTTGTTATTAAAGCTCAATGATTGGAATTTCTCAACTCTAAAGATAGAACAAGGTAATAAATAAATAATAATTTTTTTTTTTTAAAAAAAAAAAAAAAAATAATAATAAACTTCAGGTAGGTGTATTGAAACGGAATAAATTGATAATAATAATTTATAATAAATTTATTTTAAAGAATTTAATTACTATTATTTATTAGTTTTCTTTATATTTCATGAATGAATCTGATCTTTCCTTTTTCTTAACCCTGACAATCAGAATTATAGTTAAGATATAAATGAAGATATGATGTGCCGCACCATTGATAACCGTTCTGGATGTAAGAAATTCACCTATAATAAAGTTTTTTTCGCGAAATTATTTGAGCAAGATTCTTAATCAAAAAAAAGAAAAGAAAAAGAAACGAAACGAAACTTTTCTTACCAAAAAATTAATAAACAATAATTCAACATTTAGTTTCATAATAAAATTTCATTATATAGTTGGAAAATATTACAATTAAGTTAATAATATTATGGAAATTTTTATTTAGCATCTTAATCGCTATAGAATCTTTGTAAATAAACATGTGATTTGATGTCCATAAAAAATTGACGATGAAAATGTATTTTACTTTTAAAAACATGATATCTCTCAAATTTTGAAGCGACACAAGCGTTTGTTGTATTAACATTTTATTTATTTTTGTAATTCTCCTGATATAAAAAGCTTTCCAAGAGTTGGCCCAGAATATTGATTTAATTGTTTACAATAATTATTGATTTGTGATGTAATTAGTAAGGAATCGAGTCTTGAAGGTTCGGCAGGAAGTTTATGATTTTTATGGATATCATCTTCTGGAAGAGGTTCTAGTCCAGAAGCGAGTCGTGATACGTTTTCTTGTTTCTTTAATTAGAGATAATAACATTAGTATAGGTAATTCCATAGTATTATTAATTAAAATTTGTAAAGAATGACTTACTCTCTTTTGTAGGGCAACCTGTATTTTTGTTTGTTCCCTAGCAACGCTTCGTTGCCAGAACGCATAAGTATTTTGCTCTTGTGTATGCTCTTCAACAGATTCCAACAAGAATTCTAAATTCTTTTCGATATATGGATCGAGACTTAACTCTAGTGTATCAAAATTTGGACTTAATGGACTGACCACTTTTTCTTTATCTAAAGAAGCTGATTTCGGTATAACATGTTCATAATCATCTAGGGAATGAAGAAGTGCCGTCACTAGATGGGAATTTTTAACAGTGATCGGAAGTTCTTCAAAAATATTTGAAAATGTGAGCTTATTTTTTATTAGGGATTCTGTGGTAAATTTATCTTCCTTTTGCGCTTCCATGAAAGCTTGTGAAAATCTGAAAGCACGCAATGATAGATTACTATGCGTGGAACGAGAAACATCTAAAGATAAAAAGAAATTGTATATTAAGATTGTGATTAAACAGAAAATCTTACAAAACACGCCTAGGTGTTCGAATCATACCATGCACAATTACAACACTTTTATTATTAAAAGTCTGTTGATAATTATATTGGGTTTCAATCAATTTGTGGGTCACAAAAGAACCCAAGTATGTTGATTGATACCATCCGACTGTATTATTATCGACATTTACTTCACGAAGACAACGCATCATGTCAACTTGATATCTAGCTCCTAAACAAATGTTTTAAGGATCAATTAAAGGTTTTTTATTATTATTTTTTGTAAACAGGTAATAAATACCATCTACAAGCTCATTTTCGTCTTCAGCCTTGGCTCCAGGAAACGGGAAACAATTTGTTACCTCCAAGACACCGTTAACATCGAGGCCCAGAAGTTGTCCGGTTACTGGACTTGGAAAAAACTCGCGACAATGTTTGATAATTTTAAGAACTACCTAAAATTTATGAGAAACGAAAGATTTATAATTTCCGATCTGACCAATTTTTTTTTTTGATCAATAATAAATGGCAGCATACCAAACCGTCAATTTGAACGCTTTCTAATGGAAAATTTCCTTCAACATCCAACGCTGCAGTTACATTAACATTAGAAAGCGTTTCTTTAGGGGTCGTGGGTGTTCCTGAAGCGCTCATTATTCACTATTAACTACGTAAAAAAAAAAAAAAAAATTTTTTTTTAAGTTACGTGATAAATTTAAAAATGTGATGTGATGTGATAATCGAATTTTTGATCTACCTTATTGTAGAAATTACAATAACACGAAATTTTTTTTTTTTTTTACTATATCTCGTTCGGCTTCATCGAAGAAATTAGACTTTTCGATATTTTTATCCTTTGAATGACAAAAATAAAATGTTACGACCCCTTTTTACACGTCAGCTTCGTTCTAATATAATACGTTCCACCTCTGTATTATCAGCTCGTACCTTCGCGTCAGCTGTCAGTACAAGTGGACCGTGCTTTACTTTGACTGAAGAACAACAAAATTTTCAAGAACTTGCTCGTAAATTCTCTCACGAAGAAATAGCGCCAAAAGCAGCTTATCATGACCAAACTGGGGAATATCCAACGGACATTATTAAAAAAGCTTGGGAACTTGGTTTAGTAAACACTCATATTCCCGCAGAATTTGGTGGTCTTGGACTAGGTGTTTTCGAGTCTAGTTTAGTTACTGAAGAATTGGCTTGGGGTTGTACGGGTATCCAGACGGCCATTGAGGCAAATGGACTCGCGGAAGCCCCATTAATTGTCGCGGGAAATAAGGAACAAAATCAAAAATACCTAGGTCGTATGTCAGAAGAACCACTTATGGCAGCCTATTGTGTAACAGAACCTGGTGCAGGTTCGGACGTTGCGGGAATAGGAACAAAAGCAGAACTGAAAGGTGATAAATGGGTTATAAATGGACAAAAGATGTGGATCACTAATGGCGGTAAAGCCAATTGGTATTTCGTTCTGGCTCGAACCGATCCAAACGCAAAACCCGGCGCCGCATTTACGGGATTTATTGTTGACGCAAATACACCCGGTATTACACCTGGTAGAAAAGAAATTAATTTAGGTCAACGTGCAAGTGATACACGAGGCATCACATTCGAAGAAGTTGTTGTGCCCAAAGAGAATGTGTAAGGCAATAATTTGTATAGTTTTAGTGATTCTTTAAGAATATCATCACGTTAATTTTATCATTGAATCAGCCTTGGAACTCCTGGTAAAGGGTTCAAAATTGCTATGGCTGCTTTTGATATTACCCGTCCGTTAGTCGCAGCTGGCGCTGTTGGATTGGCTCGTCGTGCCATGGAAGAAGCCCTCAAATATTCTCTTGAAAGAAAAACCATGGGACAAAAAATGTGACTCATCATGTGTCCTTTTCATTATCTCTCTCATTTATTCTTTATAGGGAACTAATATCGTTCATCAATTTTGGGCTTCCATTCATATAGATTCAATCACCAAAGTGTAGCGTTTATGCTTGCTGATGCTGCTATAGGAGTTGAGTCAGCGCGCAACATGGTTTGGAAGGTAAGGACATTGACATGATTGTGCGAATATTGAAAGGTCTGTTATATTTATAATAATACATTTACAGGCTGGCTGGTTGCGCGATCAAAACCAAAGAAATACATATTACGCATCTATCGCAAAGGCGGTACGTATGACCCTCGTTTCTTGTATATTGATACGTAGAAACACGGTTTATAGAATATGTTTCCATTCAAACATTAATTCTGTAGTTGGCATCTGACGTCGCAGTTACTACGGCTAGTAATGCTGTCCAAATTTTTGGCGGAAACGGTTACAATACCGGTAATTATATACATGACTTTACGAACTTGTAATTATATTATCGTTTATAATTGAAAAAAATTTTTTTTTTCCGCAGAATATCCTGTCGAAAAATTGTACCGTGATTCTAAAATTTTCCAAATTTATGAGGGAACTTCACAAATTCAACGATTAATCATTTCTCGATATTTGGCTGAAAATGTGGAAAATATGTAATACGTGATAGTATTTATTAATATGATTAATATAATTTAAACTATTTATTGTAGTTGACGCAATTTTAATTGGTTTAAAAAATACCAGAAAAAAACTTGAAACTAATGGTCAATTACATCCCGATTAGGATTTAACCACCTCTATTTAAAGGTTGGTGGTGGTGATTACAAGATCTCCTGATTTAAAAAACAGGTTGATCATAAAAAAAAAAAAAAACATTTGATGCACGTTTCAGATAATGCAGTAAACTTCATTTTAAAACAAAGAATATGAACTTTTTTTAAAAATTCTTTTCATTCAATAAATTGTGAATTATAAAAAAAAAAAAAAAGTTTAGATATTATTCAAATTCATCATATGAAATAGACCGACAATACTTATTTTACTGCCACCAAAAAAATTTAATAGATCGTGTTAATTTTTTTTTATAATTAGAATATTCATACCAAATAACAGGGATAAAATTTAATGTATTTTAATCGAACAAAGGATTTTTTTTTGTTTATTGTACCAATACCAATACAATACGTTTAAACAAACAAGTGGTCTCATCAACTAAATCTTAAGTTTCTCTTTTTCAATAAAAGGCAAATATGGTTCAAAAAGTGTCTATCTAAAACTGTAAAACTAGCTCCTGCTTAATTACCTTAATTACCTTAACTTATTTAAATTAGGCACTAATAAATTTTCAGGATGGCATGATCTTTTATTTTGAATTTTTTACTTTATTTGTCCACTCGTATACAAAGTACATAACCATTTGTTTAATTGTCAAGTCACATTTTTTTTTTTTATTCCAAAAAATTACTTTCTTTTGTAATAAATTCTCTCGGCTGGCCGGGTTATTCGCTGTTGAAAAATTTTTTTAAGCTTAAAAAGAATTGATCATTTTACCATATTTAATTAATAATAATTCCAAGTGTAAATCATAATAAGAAAAAAAAAAATATGAGTAATTCCTCGAATCCTTCGCCTAGATATAATCAATATATCGACCAGAAAGAGTTTGATAATGTTGATAATGAAACCAATCGATATACAAATGAATATGAAGATATGAGTGATTATGTTTCTAGTGCAGGTTATAGAGATAGTTACTCCACTGGCGTTGGTACCCATGATAGCGTGATGTATCCTGATGAAGCTGTCATTCAAAGACATCCTTCAAAAAAAGTTTTAGCAGGTAATCCTGCTTTTAATAATATGACTAGTAAAGATTCATCAAATAGATTAGCCAGAGGTGATACCGTAAAGAAAACACCTCAACTTGATAAATTTGATCCTTCAACTGTAAGCGGTCCTGTTGTAACTGTTAAAAAACCAACTACAAGGAGTGAAAAGCTTCAATCTTGGATGATTAATGAAGGTAAATTTTTAAAGGATAATGAAGAAAGATTTTGATGTTGTATATATTAAGTAAATTCTTGTTTTTCTAATTATTATTCATTTCAGGGAGTCGTGCAATATTTTTCGGTGTGTGGATAACACTTCATGGTTTAGTTTTTTCTTTGGCTTTTCTCAATTTCTTCTTTAGTGATAATTTGACTCAAGCGAGAGCTACTTTCGGAATCACATATTCGTTTGCAAGGTCAGCTGCATTGGTTCTTCACGTTGATGCTGCCATGATTTTATTCCCTGTTTGTAGGAATTTGATCTCCGTTTTCCGTGCAACACCCCTTAATAACATAATTCCTTTCGATGAAAATATCGAATTTCACAAAGCCATTGGCTGGTCTATTTTAACTTTCACTTTAATTCATACTGTTTCTCATTGGATCAATTTTTTAAATGTTGCCAAGAACGATCCTTCACCAATTGTATTTTGGCTTAAGCTTAATTTCTTATCGGGACCTGGTGCAACTGGTTATGTGATGCTTATAGCCTTGTTAATTATGGTTGCTACTGCGACTGAAAAGGCAAGACGAAGTCATTTTAATAGGTTTTGGTACCTTCACCATTTGTTTATTCCATTCTTTGGAGCTTGGGCTTTCCATGGGGCATTTTGTATGATCAAATTTGATAGAGAACCAAAGTGTGGTGAAACTACTGCTGTTTTCTGGAGATATTGGATAGCTTCGGGTGTGATTTACACTAGTGAACGCGTCCTTCGAGAAATTCGTGCACGACAAACGTCTTATATTTCAAAAGTCGTCATGCACCCTTCACGTGTTGTCGAAATTCAAATCAAGAAACCTGCCATGACGACTAAAGCCGGGCAATATATCTTCTTATGCTGCCCTGAAGTATCACTTTGGCAATGGCATCCTTTTACCTTGACATCCGCACCCGAGGAAGATTTTATATCTGTGCATATTCGCGTAGTCGGTGATTTTACCGAATCCCTATCTAAAAAATTAGGATGTAACTTTGACGAAGAATTAAAGATTCGTAAAGAAAACAGAAATCGTATAAAAAGTCAATATGATGGAATTGATATTTCATCAAATAATCCGGAACTTCAAAAAGTTTTACCTAGGATTATGATTGATGGTCCATTTGGAAGTGCTTCCGAGGATGTATTCAAATTTGAAGTATCCGTGCTTGTTGGTGCTGGTATTGGTGTCACCCCATTTGCTAGTATCCTTAAAAGTATTTGGTATCGAGTTAATTACCCTACAAAATCGACTAAATTATCCAAAGTTTACTTTTTCTGGATTTGCCGTGATTATGATGTAAGATAGGATAATTTTTCTTCTCTCTCGGTTTTTCTCATCATTTTTTTGTTCCTGATTATTTATCCTCTCTTCAGTCATTTGAATGGTTTCAATCATTGCTTTTAGCTATTGAGGAGCAAGATATCGATCAATTCATTGAAACTCATATATACCTTACGGGTCGATTACGTCATTCAGAGGTTCGAAACATTCTCGTGAATGACGATGGTAATGTTAAAGATACGATCACGGGTCTTCGTGCGCCAACGCATTTTGGACGACCTAATTGGGACAAGATTTTCTCAAATATGAGAGATTTATATAAGGCGACGGACATTGGTGTTTTCTTTTGTGGACCAAAACCACTTGGTAAAACTTTACATACAAAATGTAATCTCTGGAGTCAAGGTTTTGAAGATGGAACAAGGTTCTTTTATGGAAAAGGTGAGAATAATTAAATTATAATCTTTATAACGATTCATATGAGGTCTTATTAATTCAAATTTTTCTGTATATAGAAAACTTTTAATAAATATATTATTAGCAATTCATCGATAGATATTTATTGAAAACCATTTTTTTCGAAGTCCAAAATATTTAGGTTAACATTCTCAAAAATATTTAATGTATTTTTTTTAAACAAGTGCATTGTAATATAGTTATTTATTTTTTAATACGTAAGGATTACGTGAAAGCAAAAAAAAAAACACCAAACATTAACATTCATCAGCCTGCTGAAACGAGAAATATTAAAAGAAATCCTTTTAAATTGGATTTCTTTTCATGGATCTATTTCGGATTTTAACTGGATCAATTTTAGGATAGGAATAATTATTAAAAAAATTAAAAAAAAAATAATAATAATAATAAAAATATATTACAAATTGAAAAAAATAATAAAATATTACAAATTGAAAGTCGGTGAATTTTTTTTTTTTTTTAAAAAAAAATAAAGGTATATTGCACAATGGGTTCATTTCATATGTGAAATTTCAAAAAAAGAAAATCTTTGCTTTTTGTTTTTTTTTTCAACGAAGAGACGTTCATTAATCAAGAACAGAATAAAACATTTTTTTTAAATCTATAATAGCCACGTGAGATAAAAAAAAGATGACGATCTAAATCAATAAAAAAAGTTTTTAAAAAAATCAATTTTTTAGTTCTAAAGAATGGCAACATATGAAAGAATCGAAATAGAATTAGAGAAGGCAAGAGGAGATTATGAGAAGGCGGAGAAGAATTTGCAGACGTTTGAAGAAGGAGAAGACGATGGGAAATGGCTAAAGGAGTTGAGGAATAAAGTGAGAAGAAGCAACATTAGTGAAGAGGAGAAGAGGCAGCTGGTAAGACTGGAGGAAGAAAAAGAAAAGTTGGAAACGACAAAGATGAAGTGGGATGACCAGGTGATAAAACTGCAAGCTAAGTTAGTTGAATTCAATAATGAAAAAGGTAATGAACAGAATGTGTAAAAAAATATACAAAAAATTATTTTCTGTTTCGTTTATTTCTTTATTTTATTATTTCTTTAGTAAATTTTTGCAATGTTAACTAACTTTTTTTTTACTTTGGTTATTTATTATTACACCTTTTGATCATTTGCCGTCGCTTCATTGTATATTTACTAATATCGAATACTTAATCACTTGCTTCTCTTCCCTAATCAAATACAAAAACACACTATCGTTATTGTAGAACAGGATAAGGGTAAGTACCATGACTTTATTCGAATATAACAAACAGCTGCCAATTCATTTTTTAATTTGTATCTCATTATTATTCCTACATAGACCGACGCTCAGTAAATCTGAATAAATTTTGGAAAAATTTAAAGGATGCGAAGATTACTGTACCCGGAAATTTTCTCCAGCTCCCCGGGAACACACATTTTTTAGGAGAACCATTAGAACCAACCACCATATACATCCGTAGATGCTATCGAGACCTAGCCGATATTGCTTTTAATAGGGAAATACAAAGATTGCGTATCACCGGAAATCCCGGTATTGGAAAAACATTGTTCGGCTATTATTTGCTTTATCTACTTGCAATAGAAAAGAAAACGATTTTATACGACAACAATGCTACGGATGATTGGATTGTTTTTGACAAAGAAGAAGTCTTTTATATTGACGACAAATCCGTTATTAAACAATACCAAAGTAACCCCGAAGTTTGGTATATCGTGGATGGCAAAGAACCAAAGAGAGTTAATGCAAAAACAATTCTTGTCTGTTCGCCCAGGAAAGATCATTATAGAAACTTTGATAAGTATATTGGGACGACGATACGGTATATGCCTGTTTGGACATGGGAAGAAATCAATATATGTAGGAATAAGATCTTCAATAATCTTAAGGAAAGTATGGTTGAAGAATTATTTTATCAATGGGGAGGAATCCCTCGGTTCGTCTTAGAGAAGGTTTATGATAAATCTCAGCAAAAGTCGCTCCAAAATGCAATTGACACATGCGATGAAAGATTATTGAATTATATTGGCGAAAGTGATCATGTAAGTGACATGAGTCACAAGCTCCTTCATATATATACTAATGCCCCTATCGAAGATATCGAAGACGAAAACGTTGAAAGCGGTGAAGATGTCGAAGACGATGAGAAAATTGAAGAGTCGATAGATGCAATTGTTGCACCTGATAAACTTTTTCAAATAACTATTGCTAAGAATCATCCCATTAAGTTAAATGGTTTGAAAAAACTTATCGACAAATTAGGTGGCAAGTCGGGGATTGGTGACATTTACTTTTATTTTGTCCTGCCAAAGAATTTGTACATGAATTACCGAACACAACCCTTTCATACCTCCAAAAAATCTGTTGTCAAGGCTAAACCACATTGGGTAAAAGATCGAGTCAAGCAGTATGCCTTGGAAATTGATTTAAGCTCATACGCAAAAATTACAGTATAAATATAATATTATTTGTTTAAATATTAACGTTAATATATGGGTTAGCTTATGTAATGTTTATGATTAATTTTATCATATATAATAAACTTATAATTTTATTTTTGCGTATTTTTATAGAGTTATATATATTAGTTGTAGTCTGTGACAATTCTTTAATCTGTTAATCGGATTTACTTTTCAGATGAAATATTCAGGTTTCGATTTTCATTACTAATCATTGTGGGTATCAATATTTTTTTTTCTAGCCCTTTTTTTACAGGGTCCATATTCGACAAAATTTATTGAGGCATCAGATTTTACCAAAGAACAACACGTGACATTCTATTATGATATCCGAAATCTTTATTTTAGTGAAAAGGTTAAGCTGGATTAGAAGGTCTGCTTGCATCATTTTGTATTGAATATGCTAATATTCATCAGCCTGCTGAAACTAGAAATATTAAAGAATCCTTTTTAAATTGGATCTATTTTAGATTTTTAACTGGATCAATTTTAGGATAGGAATAATTATTAAAAAAATTAAAAATTAAAAAAAAAAAATAATAAAAATAATAAAAATAATAAAATATATTTACAAATTGAAAGTCGGTGAATTTTTTTTTTTTTAAAAAAAATAAAGGTATATTGCAAAATGGGTTCATTTCATATGTGAAAAATTTCAAAAAAAGAAAATCTTTTTGTTTTTTTTTTCAACGAAGAGACGTTCATTTTACGATCATTAATCAAGAACAGAATAAACATTTTTTTTTTAAATCTATAATAGCCACGTGAGATAAAAAAAAGATGACGATCTAAATCAATAAAAAAAGTTTTTAAAAAAATCAATTTTTTAGTTCTAAAGAATGGCAACATATGAAAGAATCGAAATAGAATTAGAGAAGGCAAGAGGAGATTATGAGAAGGCGGAGAAGAATTTGCAGACGTTTGAAGAAGGAGAAGACGATGGGAAATGGCTAAAGGAGTTGAGGAATAAAGTGAGAAGAAGCAACATTAGTGAAGAGGAGAAGAGGCAGCTGGTAAGACTGGAGGAAGAAAAAGAAAAGTTGGAAACGACAAAGATGAAGTGGGATGACCAGGTGATAAAACTGCAAGCTAAGTTAGTTGAATTCAATAATGAAAAAGGTAATGAACAAAATGTGTAAAAAAATATACAAAAATTATTTTCTGTTAGGTAATGAACGAATTGTGTAAAAAAAAATATATAAACGAGAAATTTGCGGTATCAAACATCCTATATATATTTTTTTTTTTTTTTTTTTTTTTTCGATTAGGCAAAAGAAAACGCAGAGGTTCGGACTTAGACGAGGAAAATATAACGAAAAAAGAGAAACTAATAGGTAATATATATATATTACATCGTATTGAGATGAGAATAAACTATATACATTTTCGTATTCTTGCCTAATGATTGCAATATGTTATACTAACAATTTTGTATTTTTCTTGTTATTTTCATAAATCTGAAAGACCTTAGTTCTCCTGAATCAATAGTAAGGTTTTTTACGGAGGAATATGAGAATAAAAAATTGATCAAGACTGATTTCACAAAACCATACCAACTGTGCGATAATAAATGTGCTTTCAAAAGAGAAGGTCGAGATGATGCATTATGTCAAACATATGATTACATTTATGACCGGTATTGTAATCTTAGTAGCGCAAAAAGTCTTGCTGATAAACAATTACATCCTCTTTTCGCACTTCAATCAGCTCCAGGAGGGGGAAAATCATTCTTTTTTGACGAGTTAGCTAGTTTGAAAGGTGAAGATATTAATATGATTAGTCATTATTTAGAAAATAAATATCCTCATCAGGATATAATAGTCAAAGAAGTTATAAATATGATTCGTAATTCAATCAGCATTTGTATTACATATAACGGAAGTTCATCTGATGGTAATATGGATGGCATTCAAAAAGGATTAATCATGCGAATTTTATGGAGCTACTTTTTCGATGAGAATAAGTTAACCTATGGTGCTTTTTGCAAGAAATTTAGAGAATATTTTGATTCATTGGACACTTATACGGCAATTGATAGTATCATTTATCATTCGGGTAAATCAGTACTTTTATGTATTGATGAGACTATGAGAGTTTTACAAAATGGCCATGAGGATCTCATAAATCTTAAAAAATTACTAGACGAACTCTACAATCCTTACCGGGACTTTTCAAAATCAGTCAACAAATTCTATTTTGTCGTGTCTACTCTTGATACACTAAATGTATGGAATACCCAAACAGACTCACAAAGACCGGTTCATTGGATATCACTAAGAAGGCTTGTTCTCTCGGAATCAGCAAATTTATTTTGTACACTAACAAAAGGTTTAGATGAAAAAAGACTTTTTGTTATTAACAAATGTATCGCTGATTGTAACGGACATCCAAGAACCCTAGAGTACTTTTATAAAGTTTTGAAAGCCGATGATACAGCTTTGAATATTGATGTTTACAGTTCTCTTAGGGGAGTGACATATATTACCTAATATTTTAGGGGGTGGGGGGTAACAGAAAATCTTAGGTTACACATAATATTATTGGTCACGTGATATGGCTTATACTCAATATTGCGATATTTA